AGTTAAGTTAATTTTCATTTCTATTAAATCATTGAGTTCATTCTCCTACGGCAACTAGAGGCCGTCGGGTTCTAGTGAGTATGTGAGTCACATGAACATTATCTCTGTGTCCACCGACGCAGAGATAAAATCATGTGATATTAATGTTAGCACTAAGTCAAATTTAGGGCGTCCTTAAACTATACCCGGGGTATAGGCTCTTAACCTATAACCCCCTAAATAAATAAACTAAATTTAAAATAGCTATCACGTGCTAACTAAATAGAAACACGATAAAAAACAGTTGAAAAAACACGTCAAACTAAAAATCTTATTCGAATGGAGTGGAATCGGTTTGAATGCATTATGTTCATCAGAGTTATGAATGACAAACCAAAATTATGTACACTGTTATGGTGGTAACGTGAGGGAGGAGTGATAATAAAAATTGTATCAGGCTGTATGAAACTAAGAATCGATACAAGCCCTATATTTGTAAATAAAAGTTTCTAAAAATGTAATTCTAATCGAAGATTGTAGCTTAATTTGTATAATCGTACCAAGATCCTGTAATAGCCTTCAGAAACGAAACAGTGGATCACTGAAACTGAGTAGCAATAGTATTAGCAAACGAAACTACTAGTTTCAAGGATCTAAAGTACGATTATCGTATCTTCTAATGCTTTGTTTTGTATAAAAGCAGGGCCTTTGAGCCTTTAATAAATTCAGCAGTTTTTTCGATGTCTTAAATGGTAGAATAGAAGAATCGATTGCTCAAGTGTTTGGATTACTTAATATAAAACTGTTTAATAACCCTTATATTGGAAAATCCGATCGCATAAATTAGTTAACCGATCTATATTAAATTACCGATCCACATGAATAAGCCACCCTACCGATAGTACTATATTACCCTACTCGTAATAACTTTTCATTAAGGTTTACTATTGAAGTTAAATTGGACGAAATATTCGCTTAAGCTCTCCCAAACAATAGAAACAACACTTATTGACCAGTACGGCAGGGTTACTTTATTAACACGACTAAATAGTTAATCAAAGAATTTCTTCTGAATATGTGCTATTATTAATTATCACCAAATACGCAATTGTTCTGAAAAGAAATATTGCCATAAAGATGTGGAATAAGATTTTAAAAAGAGCTAAAAATGTAAAAGCACAATAATAAAATAGAATATTGCTATCACAAGGGGTTTATATTTTCAAATCGAGACCCAAATCTCAGCATCATATTAATGGATACGTATCATTTCATCGACAATCGCTTCGCCGAACACCCCATCGCACAGAGCGATTGTTTGATGATTAATAATTATTGTTCAATATTACTCATTACGCTGTGTGAAAGGGTTTTTGGTGAAGTGATCATCAATAAATGATACGTATCCCATATTAATCTTAGAATTCGGTTTCTAATCAGTGATTTTATAAAAATTAGTTATATAATGATTGCGCAATTGCACGTAGCTATATTTATATCTCAGCATCATATTAATCTTAGAATTCGTTTTCTAATCAGTGATTTTAATAAAAAAATTAGTTATATAATGATTGCGTAATTGCAGATAACTATATTTATATTCCTCCTTTCAGTTACTCTAATTTCATATTCCAAAAAATCAATTCTTTAATGGCTAAAGTTGTAGAAAAAGAAGAAATTATTACTGGTTCGATCGATCTGATTGCAAGTGTGGGGGAAGTTTCTTGTATTAAATTCAATAACACGTTACACATAGCAACTATTACCTTGGATAATGGCCAAGATATTATTAAAAAACTAAACACGCCACTAAGAGTGATCCTTATTTATGATGTAAATCATAAAAAATCATCCAATAAGCCAATCGGTAATGAACAAGAACCTAAAGTAAGTGTTGGTTAAGAACATTAATAAGTAAACATTTTAGTACTCAAAAATTAAAAAAAAACTTAGGGAATTCATGATGTGGATGAATCATCCTCACAAACTGACAATGAATTAATGCCCGATATTCAAGATAACAATACTACAAATGATAGTCAGATAAATAAAATTTTTCGAAGTTCTAAACAAATTAAGAAAAACTATCAAAATAATGAATGTACTGATGAGCAAGATGAAAATCAGGTAACAAAATTTTAATAATATTTATAATATTACTTGATTAACATAATTTAATATTGACAAATTACAAAATTACAAAATATAGCAAGAAGAAAGTATCAGCAATGACACTGACAATAACGAGGAAATGGATGTATCGATGTCAGTTAATGATATTGATGAGCCCTCATATAACATTAGTGTAAGTTATTATTAATATAATATTAATGCAAGTTATTAATTAACTCGAATTTCAACAAAATTTTCAATAAAGAACCAAAACTCAGATATTGAGCAAGAGGGTTCTAATAGAAATGATAGTGATTCCCCAGAAATGAGTGAAATCGAAAGTTTAAATGAATCGAAGCGCAAGACACGATATTCAACGAGACTTCGAAAAAATGAATTCTCGTATAATATTAATGTAAGTTATTATGGTAATATAACTCTAGTGTGAGATATTTATTAACTCGAATTTTTCACATAAAGAACCAAAATTCGAAATCTAAGACACGATATTCAAAAAGACTTCAAAAAAAAAGAAAATCAGATAAGAATTACGGAAATAAAAAGAAAAAGAAACCAAAAATTTCGTCTAATCTTGATAATGGTATGTGGACTTATTTTTCCCTTCATTAATAATAAATTAAAATTTTCATTTTGTTAGAAAAATATGTAAAAGATGTTCATAAATCATTTCCAACTGTTCTGATTGAAGCGAATGATCACGTTAGTAGATAATTAGTATAATAATGTTCGAGTTTTAACGGACACTTTCAATATATTAATATTTTTCTCATTTTTTAAAGCAAATTCATGAAATAGGTGAAGGTGCTACTGAAATTAATAGTGATGTAAGAATTATTAATTACCGCACATTATTGAAATTTGTTGTAATTTCACTAGAATTTTAAAGATCACATTCTATATATTATATATTCTTTCCTTATTTCTTGAAGCGCATTCATGAAATAAATGAAGATGCTTCAGAAATCCAGTCAGAGATTAATAGTGAAGTAGGAATTCATAATTAAGACGTGTTATTAAATTGCTAGTAACTATGCGAACGGTCACTTTCCATATAATAACATTTTTATTTCTTAAAGCGAGTTCATGAAATAGATGAAGATCAAGTAATCGAGGCACAGGTTGGGAATTCATAATTAAATTACAATGCGCATGGATCTATTTTGTACTAAAGTGAAATTGCAATTTAAAAAGGAATCATCGCCTAGTAATTCTAAAGATATTGAAGCAGATGAAAGCTCACAATCTGCAAATTCGATTGATCGTGGAGACGATGTTTATAATGAAAATATTCAACCTTCACAAGTAAGAATTTCTCGAGTTGAAAATGAGTTTTAATTATAGTCATCACATAAACTAATTATTTATTTTTTTATTGAATAGTTAAGTGAAGAACATAACAATAATGATAATCAGGTAATAATCTATGATGTAATTTTATTAACTTTGACTCATATTTAACGCAAAATGATTCAAAAAAAAACTTTAGAAAAAGACAAATAACTACACAAATATCCTAATTAAAGGAGATCCAGTGCCAATAAAAATTCGCAATGATATGTTGAGAACTGAAATCTTTAATGAAGTATTAATTAACGAATGGAATAAATTTTCGAGTTCTTTACCTACTACAACTGACAAATTTGAAGAGGAAAATGACGATATTGAAAGCAAAATAAGAAATGTATGGAGAAAAATTTCTCGTAATGAAACCAGCTATAGCAATTCAAGGGTTAAATATATCCATTCCCTTTGCGAGTTAGCATTTATTTCATGTGAGCTGACAATAAAAGTAAAAAAATTAAAACAAGATAACCAATTTTCGGTCCCCAGTTTTATAAATGTGTTTGATCAAGAGACAGGAAAAGATAAACAAGAAATAAACCCAGATGCAAACCATTGGAACTGCCGATTTGCAAAAGGCGAAGTAGTTGCAAGCCGCGTATATAAAATTATGGAAGCAGAAGCATCCAGAATTTACCATAAGGGGGGTAAATTAACAAGGATAAGTGATACGATGGTTGCTGCCCGACGCTTATTAATACTTGTTCAAAGGCTGGGCTGGAAGGTAATTCACAATAGCAAGACCATTGACCCTCCTAGACTTAGAAAGGTAACAAATTTTGAATGGACTGAACTTATTGAAGAAATTGAAAAGTGTCAACCCGTAGATAGTATAAATTCTTACATGTTATCTGATTTAAGTTTAAAAGAACTAGAAAAAAAGTCTAGTCTGCTGTATTAGAGTTTAACATTAAAAAAACAAAGTTTTTGTATTAAGAAGAATTCGTTTCAAAGATAATAACTTGAGCAAGAATATTTATAATTTTCAATGGAAGATTTGCCAGATCACCTGAAAAAGTTTATAGAAGAATATATTTTAAATCAAGAAAATCAAAAAAAATTAATTCGTAAGATAAATTACGCTCGAAATTTTTTGGATAGGATGTAAGTTTAACTATACATTTAACAATTTATATACATTTCTGATAAATTATTTGGACTTTTTTTCTAAATAGTTTATTACTTTGGGATAATCCTAAATATAAACAAAAAAATCTGTAAACATAGAGGGCTTTCATAGTGATTAGCTAAAGTGAAAGAATTGCATGAATAGCAAATAAAAAGGAAAAATATACATCATTATAAAAATTATACTCAAACACTAATTCACAGAGTTTATTTTTTACTATATGGCACTTTATTTAATTAATAATAATTTAATTTCGTTTACAATAGAATATCACAAATATCATAAGTTTTTGAATCTAACAAATCCCTAGCACAAAAAAAATTTCTCCATAATTTTTAGACAACTATTGTGAAAATCAGAATAAATATACTATATTCCTTAAGTTGACACTTTTCAACTAAATTAAAATAAAGTATTTATATAATTCATAACTCATGATAGACATAATTTGGTATAAATAATTTGTAACTTTCTAGTAAAATTAATAATTTTAGTAGAATTAATGGTAAAATAATTTAGTAAAATTAATTCATAGCTCTGGTAAACATAGTTTTGAAGAAAAATTTGTAACTTTGGTAATCATAAATTTGGTAGAATTGATTCGTAACTCTGGTAAGCATAATTTCGGTAGAATTGATGGTAAACATAATTAACTTAATTAACTATTTTAATTCCACTAATTAGCATAAAAAAGTACTAAATTTTTATAAATTTTATCAAATTTTACTAAATTTTATTAAATTTTAACAAATCTTATTAAATTTTAACAAATTTTATCATATTATACTAAATTTTAAATTAATTCTAATCTGAGATTAAAAACACTTAGGACCTAGCCCCAGAGCATCACCTAGGTCTAAGAGCAAAAAAACTATAAATAACTATATAATTTGAAATTAAAAACACTTAGGACCTAGCTCCGGAGCATCGCCCGGTCTGAGAGCTAGTCTCCCAAAATATCCTTCTGATATCCGTCACGTCCGTCCACGATGAAAAGTAATCACTGGTCACATGGTAATCATATGTCTTATTTAATTCAAGAGCTAAATTAATACAGGTTTTGCATACCAACTTCGTACAAACTGACAGTCAAATTCATACAAACTGATAGTCAAATTCGTACGAAGTTGGTATGCAAAATCTGTATAATATATAAAAGTAACTAATTTGAGTAATTTAAATTTTAACCTTAACTTTGATTTTAATAGTTTATAGAATTACTTTAAATTGGTTCAAATAATTAATTTATATATATTATATAATTGTATAAAAATTATATATATTTATTTATACTAAAAATTGATTTTAGGAAGCTATATAATATAATTGTGTCATCTCTTTATCTCCCGAACATTCATATAGTAAGAAACTGATATAAAATCGCATTTTAGATTTTGTTAGCCATCTGTTATCGCAGTTCCATCTGCCGAAGTGTGTTTTACCATAACTCTTAAAAATTCTTTTTTTCTGCACCAAAGTCGAAATTAAAAATATTATATTAGACAAATTGTGGAGTCTAAGTGTATGCCCTTAGAGTCAAAATACATATTAATTCGAAATTATAACTGATACTTATTCTAATTGAAAATTATATGTAACTTTATTTAATTAATAATAAAATTTCAAAAATCATAAGAAATATACAGTATCCCGTTCACGAACTTCATAATTAAATCATTAAATCATAACTCTGGTAAACATAATTTGGAATTATAACTCTAGTAAGCATAATTTTGGTAGAATTAATACGATAATTTTAGTAAAATTAATAATGCTGGTATAATTAATTCGTAGCTCTGGTAACTTAATTTTGGTAGAATTTAATTCGCATCTCTACTGTATATATTTATTTATTATATATTATATAATTATTATTATTTTTTTTTTGGTATTAAGGTGAGGCCTTGCTCGTATCTTTATTAATAATTTTTGAAATAGCAACAATGTGAAT